TTTCCAATCCACCAATGAATTAATGTGCCAACTCATCGGTGCTTAGGATAAGATGAGCACCGGTGCTCATTAGATCATTTCTGTATATATATATATATATACACCAAACATTCTACAAATCTCTAATAAAGCCCCTTTTTTGTACTAATTTTTAAAATTCATCTTTAACCGCATATTTTCGTAATAAAATGAATTTTGTGGAGGGATTCATAAATTTCCTTTATTTTTGAACCATACATTTTCTAAAAATATTACTTTTCAAGGAATTTGTTTTTAAAAAATCTATATCAAATATGTCCTGTTTTTATTTTCAAATGTATTCTTACCTTTAATTAAAAGAAAAAAAATAAATACGTGTTTTGATAAAAAAAAATGATTTATTTATTTCTAAGGTTAATTAAATAAAATATTATTATTTATAAATAAACCATTTACTAGTAAGGGGCAGTAAACCTTGGAAGTGTCAAATACCAGTGTATGATTACGTGGTTTTTTAATTGGATGCTTGGACAAGTGTGATATCTTGTTCATAAAAATTTCACACTACTGATATAACAAGAGATCGTGCTCATTGGAGATCAATTCTAGGCCTCTTAGACACCAATTCATATACTCTCTTGAAATTAGTAAGAGTGTCTATTTGTTTTCGGAATTAAGCTAAATGTACATAATGCTTGATATAGGGGTTGATCGACCACTCACATTGCATGTGGGTCCCGACCTGAATTAAATAATGTCGATCTCCCCATGTGTGTGTTGTGTCATCCTATATGTCAAACATTATGTTTGTGTAGCAAAACTCTTGTTTTCGACTCTCATAAATTATTCAAAACTCCGTGTCTAGCCCATCATTATTTTATTGAGCTTTGTTTCCTCTGCTGTATCTAATATCTTCACGGAGTCACGAAAGGTCGCGGTGAAGATTAATGAGCATCGTCTTCCGGTGAGGCGACTTGGACGAAGCATGTACCAGGTCTCCTTTGCCTTCGCCGGATGCTTACGTGGCTGCCAGTTTGGTTATAGCAAAAGACAATTTTCTTAGTGGTTCTCTCTTGTCTCTTACATAAATGAAGACAATTTTCTTAGTAGTCTCTCGTCTCTTACATAAATGAAGACAGTTTCTTCATTCAAACTCCACTTTTTTTAAGTCTATTGACTAACTAGAAATAATAAATAGTTCAAAGATCAAAGTTAACAACACTATAACTTTGATAAGTAACAATTACGCTTCTCTTTTTTTTCATCCTAAGCATATATACACTACTAAATTGCATTATTCTAATTTCTACGTGTAGGTTCAGCATGGACAGTGTTGTCAAGATCATTTGCCGAATACTGTGTGGTTGGGTGGGACAATTTACCTAGGACCCTTCTTCTTTACTACACAAATTTTGTGTCATCCCCAGAGGGTTATTTCCAGACAGTTATTTGCAACTCCGAGGATTACAAGAACACTACAGTGAACCATGATCTTCATTACATAACTTGGGACAACCCTCCAAAGCAGCATCCCAGATCACTTGGATTGAGAGATTACAGGAAATTTGTCTTAAGCAACCGTCCATTTGCCCGGAAATTCAAGAAAAATGATGTAGTACTAAACAAGATTGACCGTGAACTTCTCAAAAGAGGGTCGAGACAATTTTCTTATGGGGGATGGTGTTCTAACGGTCAAGATATTCAAGATAAATGCTCGGAATTGCAGAGTGAAAAATATGGTGTTCTAAGGCCTGGTATAGGTTCAAGAAGATTGAATATTCTGCTAAAAAAATTGATTTCGGCTCGAAATTTCAATAAGCACCAATGCAGATGATTTAATTTGAGGTGGATTACATATTCATGCTTGTTGGAGTTGTCTTCAAGTTTTTTGAGGTCCTAAATTTTAGATATACATCTAGCTTGTAAGCTACAATATTAGGAAATATGTAAATGCAATCAAATCATGACTCAATAATAATTGAATTACACGAAATTGTTTGATTGATGAACTAAAACATTTTCCTTGAAGAGTATGTGCATGCTTTTTGGATGCTTTGATAAACCTTACTGATCTAGGGGATAATGCTAGAATTAAATGTTTCCAATAATCTCCTCTCAACTTTCATAGCATGCATCCATCAATACCAAAGTAAATCATGTTGATTTAAAAGGCCAAACTAAAATGATTTTATTAACAAAACTATTTTCTTTACAAACACACATCTTGCACTTTCTCTCTTGCACACTCGCTCTCTTTGCACTCTTTCACTTACA